TAAAAGGTAGTTTTTATGGCGCGGAAGAGCTTACTGTGAACCGTCTGCTCAACTGGACTGATTTGCCTTGCCATTGTACATCCTAAAACACTGTTGCTCGTTTCTCTGGTAGTTTTAATCCAGAAAAGTTTTTTTTCTTTTGCTACAAAACCAAAGCATGTAACAAAAAGGGGTAAAAGCCACTGCTGCACTTTTTTCTGCCTGAAAATGAAAACAGTTTTCGAACCAAGTTTCGAAGTATGTGCCAAATAGCTAACTTTTGGCCGTTACTCAGTTAACGGAAATCGGAAATGCGCTGAAACTATATGTGTAATCTTGATAAGTTCCTGATCCCGCAGTTTTCACATGTTTTTTTTTTAATTAACTAATTCACTTTTCCCTTCGTCCCTCTGTTTTCAGTGGGAGTTCCAGGTGGGTACATGTGAGGGCATAGAAATAGGCGACCATCTGTGGGTTTCACGCTACCTGCTCCACCGTGTGTGCGAAGACTTTGGTGTCGTAGCCTCATTGGACCCCAAACCACTGAAGGAGTGGAACGGCGCTGGATGCCACACCAATGTCAGCACCAAGCAGATGAGGGAGGAAGGAGGACTTCAGTGAGTGGAAATAATTAAGTGCTATAATATCTTATCTAACATCTCATGGCAGCATAAGTTTTCTTTTTTATTATTATATTGTTTGGGAAATCTGTATCAAACATGTAGCTCTTCGTATTACTGAGTGCCCTTTACAGCAAGTAGCTATCAGTTTGAGAAAGGTTGGTGACCCCTGCTGAATTACACTAATCACCAATGATTACTGTGTGCTATGATATGATCAATGGACTTAAGTGTGACACGGTATTCTTGCTGTTGTTTCCAGCTGTAAGATGTAGTCTAACGCTTTTCCTAACTGTGTTGACTGGACACCTCGTGATGCATTTCGATTTGGGTTGACACAGTTCTTCATGATCCCCTCTGTCTCTCCTCCTGACAGCCATATCAATCTGGCCATTGACAAACTAAAGAAGAAACACAGCGATCACATCCGTGTGTATGATCCCGCCGGCGGTGACGACAACAAGAGGCGTCTCACCGGACGTCATGAGACCTCCAGCATCCACACCTTCTCCTCAGCAGTGGCCGACCGAGGCTGCAGCATCAGAATCCCCCGCCAGGTGGGTGAAGAAGGCAAGGGCTACTTCGAAGACCGGCGTCCTGCATCCAACTGCGACCCCTACATGGTGATCAAGGCCATCGCTTGCACCTGCCTACTGGATTCAGACAAAGGTGAACAGGAAAATTAGAAGAGAGCTGTAGCAGCCCTGCAGCTGTGTCTGCAATATATTTCTTCCTGTACATCACTGTGTGAGCTCCTCTGAGCTGGATACTTGTCTGTGATAGATAGCAAATGTAGATTTGTGTGGAGAAACAATTAAAGTGTAATTTGTCAAACTAAGGCTGTTGGATATGAGTTGGACTGCCACAATCTGCCTACCTGGTTCCCAGTACAAGAATCAGTTTTCCAGAGATGGAAAATGTATGACATGATAATAAAATACATATATAACAAAACAAAAAAAAAACCTTGGTTAAATCTTGGCAACAGCAACAGCAGTCTGACGAAGAACACACAACGAAGCAGTCTTTTTTTTTTTTTTCAGATATGCATGCTTTTACCCTTTTGTCCAGCAGATGGAGTCAAAATTAAAGTAAAAGGTTGCTCCTTCTCTCCAAGAACAGAATCACAAATGCTTGTTACCAAGTAAATCAGGGTTATCTATATATATCAAATATTTGCTTCACAAAGTAAAATATCAGTATTATATACCCACTCCTTAATGTATCTACACATATATTCTAAACTTATTGTCCCTGAAGATGTCCCTGATTCCATCTTGAAAAGTCCTGTGACAGAGGATGAGCGAAGCCTAAGGCAGTGAACTCATCAATGGGCTGTCACTCTGACTTCACTGATGTCAGCGTGAACACATCCAACATAAGGTGGAAGAGTGAACATGGAGTGTCATCCTCTTGCTTCCTGTCACGTGATGCTCATGCTGTGTTGAACTCACTGGTCTACAACTCTCCACCTGTGCTAAGCCCGCAGTGCTCTACCCCAATATCATGACATCAACACTTCATGACATCATCGGATCTTTCAAAGCAGCTGTGGTTTTGGTACCAAAGTGAGTGGGGTTACCATGGATACAGTCAGATTGTCTCTAGACAACCATGGTGTTTGTCTGTTGTCATGGAAACATATCTTTTCCTGTTGAGATGAGGACAAGCAATGTCTCCCTCCCTCTTTTCCTGCCTCTCATTTTCACCTCTCTCCCCACTTTGTTCTCCCTTTCTTGCATGATGCCCCAATGCTTTTCCCCTCCTTCATTTCTTCCAACCTTTCTCAATTAACTATTCCTCACATCCCCCCCTGTTTTTCCTCTATTCTTGGTTATCTATGTCCTTCTTCCTAGCTCTCTCTATCTTTAGTTATCTCGGTCTTTCTTTTTTCTCTGCCTTTTCTCACTCTTCCTCCACATCTCTCTATTTCTTTTTTCTATAAAACAAAACTGTTCTGATCTATCTGGAGCACAGTTGAGATTTTCACTTTAGCTGCAAAATTGAAAAGGACACACTTTAACCAACAGGAAATGAGTTAAAAAGAGGTAGAGGAAAGAGAGGAAGTGTTAGGAGGCAGTAATAAGGTTACAGACTAACTGCCTTCCAACAGACAGAACTACTGACAGGAAGTTCTTCCAGACACAGGAGGAGTGTCTGCTGTTAGCTAATGTAGTGGATACAGAACTGGTCATAGAAAGAAAAGCCCGAGCCTCTCAGTGTGGGTTTGGCATTGATGGATGTTGTGATAAATTACACACCGTGTCTGTGTTTGTGTTCACTCACAGTGGAAAGTCTGAGCCGAACACAGATAAACACTGTTATAAAAAGTCTAATCTTGCCAAGACTTCAATATTCCCAACATGGAAACCATGAGGTAAGGACATGACAGTGCAAAATAAAATAGTTTAACAAGTACAGATTGTGTATTGCAAGTAACATGAGGGGTGGACGAACTTTAATATGTTGAAAATTTGACTGAGAGGCCAGTTCATTATTGGTCGGATGTAAATGGTTCTATGGTGTCATGGTTAGCACTGTGGACTCCCACGATGTGAGTTCAAAATTGGTTGAACCTGATTTATTTCTGTAATTTCCCAGCCCAAATCAGTAAAGTACATCTACCTTGAACATTGTGTGAAATAACTTAAATACAATTTACAAGAACAAACCCAAACTTTCAAAGATAATTTTGCACCTTTGATGTCTTCCGCCATCTAGTGCAATCAACAGAAATGACAGGTTGTGATAAATGAAACGGAAAGATTGACATCAGTCTTTACCATACCTTGTACCAGTGCTTAGTGATCCAGATTAGAAAGCTCAGCGGGCTGTATCTGGTCCACAGGCCATATTTTTTAATTTGCCACAAATGGAACAACTTTGTCTTTGTGAGGTGCTGTAGAAACATGGCTGACAAGATGGATCTGCCTTAGAAGCCCAAACGAGCTACAGCGACCTTACCTAACATACTAGAAAATGTCATATTTTTTATTTGCCAGAAAAGGAATAACTTTGTCTTTGTGAGATGCTGTAGAAACATGGCTGACAAGATGGCAACATTTGTAGAAGATGGTCCTTTAATCAGATTAAACCAAATACAGGACTTCTTATTCATTCATGGTAGTCCCCTTTTGGGACCATTGTAGGTATAGATGTTGATTGTTAACCCTCCATCTTAATCAGGGACACTTGCTTTTTTGGTTCACATTAAGCCATATATTTAGCTAACTGTTGGCTATCTTATTTTACCATTTATTTTCAATAATATTTGATCTTTACATATAACAGTGATACGTTCTTAACAGGAAAAAACTACTTTTCTACTTTTTAAATGTATTATTTATTATTGCTCCTGCTAGTTTGTGGTAATAACTAGCCTTTCCTAATTATGTTCTGAATTGTAGTTATTTTTCTAACTTATAGCAATGTTTTTGACTTGTAGGAGCAGTAGTAGTAGTAGCATTAGATGTAATAGCTGTAGAAGTAGTTTTACATCCAGTTATTTTTTAAAGTAGTAAATAATAGCAACGGCTGTTATAGTACTGGTATTGGTAGTTGTTTTATCGTTTGTTGTAGCGTTATTATCAGTGGTTGTAATAATATCTGCAGCTTAAATACAAGCCTAGTTGTATTTGTAGAAATAGTAGTCATGGTGTTTGTAGTTTATACAGTAGAAATATCACAACTACTACAGTAGTAGCTGTCGTAGTACTGTACACTATTAGCATTGTAAGTGCAGTTCTGTCCCATGTTCCATGTAGTCATTGTTTACGGCCCTGGTGACGTCACTATTCTCCATGGGCTCGTGCAGCAGGTGAGAGCAGTAGTTTCGCCTGTTCGCTCTCAGACACAGAGCGGCGGAGGAGCTGTGAGGAGCGGTAGGAACGGCTGCAGTTACTGGAAGGAATCATGGGGAAAATACAAGAATTCGATATCACTCTTTACAACAACAAGGTGGTTTACGGGCCCGGAGAGTCGGTGAGCGGCACGGTGAAGATTCGAACCAACAGCGCGCTGCAGTGTAAAGGTAAAAACTCTGCTCGGTTCCGTTCTGTTTTTACTTGTCGCCTGGCTGAAGTGCGAGGCGCGAGTGACGCTCGGTGGAAATCAAACTTTTTCTTCCGTGGTTGTGATTATGGAGGTCAGGGTGGGGATTGGAGAAGAGCTGGTGGCTGCGGCAGTGAAGCAGCCGTGTAAGACGATTTCAGTGGTCATTTCGTGGCTGCTAAACGTCGGTGCGCAGTGTTTGGGTGTATTTTTTTTGGGACGCATTAGAGACGGTTCCACCCTCAATATCAGGAGACGAGCCTCTATCCGGAGGTTAAACCACATCCTGGTCCTTACCCTACTGCTTCAACATGTTGCTTCCTATGAGTCTATCTGAAGGAAGGAAGAAGAGCCTTTATGTTTGTGAATAAAAGTGTTTAAGAATATCCATCAGCAGAACACACTTTCTGTATCCGTTGTCGTCACTTCACATGTTGTTCACATTTACCCCTGAAACTTTATTAAATACTCCATGTCTTGGTTGACCAAGTTTGGTTAAACAGAGCTATTGACAGTAAAAACACCTTGTTAGCCCCTGGCCTGGGAACCAGCCTGTATGTCACAGGTTCAGGTTAGCCCCTATAGAAAACATGGCCGACTGCGACAGGCCTTTGTCATTTACCATAAGTGTTATCTAAATAACTTTTAAATTCAATCTGTCATATTTTGTGTTCGGAAAATCTTCTTGCTGTTTGATTGTCAACAGTAGTTGGAATTCAAAAGCTGCTGCTCTTCTGCGTCCATTAAAGCCAAGTATTGTCAATAATGTAATTTGATACTTCAATTGCCATAGTTTTAAAAGGACATTTAAAGTTACTGATGAAGGCAGTGGTGGATCAAAAACTTATCTTTTTCATGACATATAATGTCTGTAGTTCTCTTTGGAGATGTAGGTATGGACAGTTCATACCTTAAAAAAAGTTACACAAACTTCCATTACCAGTTAACGCCAATGCATTTCAGTGCATTTTATCCTAATATAAAACTCATTAGTCAGGTGTTAGCAATGGCGTATTGGGTAGAGGAATGTTCTGTCAACCTGAATGTTGAGAGTTGGATTTTAACGTGTTGCCAATGAGTCTCTGAGAAGGACACATGACCCTATATAATTCACCCCACCCTGTGATGTTGTTTGTATACTTGAAGTGGTATTATATAAATCGGAAATGTTGTTTTAGTATGAAGGTGCCAAGTTTTTTCAAATTTCCCTCATACAATAACCTATATGTCTGAAGGATATTCTTGTCAAGAGCCCAGCCAGTGTTGACTGTGTATGTATCATTACCTCATACAGCGTGAACTTCCCCTTTAATAATGTAGGTGAGGCAGCTAGGAAAGGTGGAGGAGAACAGCTTGTTGCCACAGATGGACACAGAGAGTCCATTGTTTGGATCCTTGTAGTGGGATTCTTCACTGATAGTGGGGCCACGGGGGGAGGCTGCTGCTGCTGTCGAACTTTAAATAAAGACCTTTATCAGCGAGAGTCTGGGAGTTGGAGGCATGTTAATTGTCATGGTTTGTAAATAAAGTTGACTGTGGGAGAGTAGAACTTCGAGGTGGGCTGAGTTTTATAGAACAATATGGCTACAAAGGTGGAATACTACACATTGCTCACAAGGTGACAACAAATTGTTTACTGGTTTTATTAGGTCTGGAACAGAGAAGGAATTTCTTTACCAAAGACTAGTCACACAAAACTTGTTTCAAAATAGTTGTAATATTTCTGATGTCAGTAATATTTGTCGAAAAGGACTGGTTATCCTATTTAAAGTAATACGAAATGGGCAAAAAGTCACACTATGGACACTACGGGCAGTGGTGGTTTAGTGTTTAAGGAAGTGGACTTGGGTCTGGAAGGTTGCTGGTTCGAATCTACTACTGAGTTGCTCTGAGCTTTCACCGTCGCTCAAAAAGCTGCCCACTGTTCACTTTGGTGATGGGTTAAATGCAGAGATCACATTTCGTTGTGTGCAGTGCTGTGTCACAATGACACAATGGCTTCCTTTCCTATTTCTCATATTTTTTTCTGATGAATACAGATGTAGCAGTTTATTAGCAGGTCATTTGAGAGCAGTGTGAACCAGGTTTGAGTGACAACACTTGTTTTTTGTAGTGAACAGATGAGTGAACAATGACTTCAGTGGAAACGTCTGTTATTGTTCAAGTGAAAAAACTTTATTTACTTTTTTCAGTGTTGTCTTTGTCCACTCACAACTCTTAAGCTTCAGCATGGTAACAGTAAATAACATGCAATCACAGTCTCACAGTGGTGGATAGATGTAGCTTTTAGGTGAAGCTAAACCAAAACATGATCTGTCTCTCCAGGGGGTTGAAGACTATGAGTCAGAACCTTTATATACTCAACTTAAAAACAATCGTGAAGTCCAAACCCCTACTGACTACATCTGCGGCTTTCAGCACTGCTGTTAATGTACTGTAATTGCTGAGGTTGCATTAACCGTCGATGATGGTTTCAATCGGAAGCTTGACTCGCACAGCAGCAGAATAAAACACAATGTGGGTTTGACTCTGATTCATTCAATCACGTGACAACTTCCTGTTTTGGATTTTTGTGCAGCTGTTTGACTCATTCAATCACGTGAGAACTTCCTGTTTTGGATTTTTGTGCAGCAGAAGCAGCAGATGAACGAATAGAAGACCTGAGAAACTTACATAACGAGTCGCTGTAACCAATCAGTTGACCGCCAGAATAGTTGTTGATTGCTGTAAGTATGGTAGCAGTCCTTGTTAGCTCAGTGCTGGCGTTTAGGGTGTGATTGTGTGTTTGTATAAAAGTGGATGGGGAGGGTAATAATTTATTAGAACGTAAAAGTAATTCCTGCTCGTAGAGATCAAACATAAGTGGAAACTCAAAGTGCTAGCAGTCCTTGTTAGCTCAGTGCTGGTGTTTAGGGTGTGATTGTGTGTGTTTGTATAAAAGTGGATGGGGAAGCTTTGTCAAAGGTGTTCTGAGAGTGTCTGTGTGTGCTACAGAGGGATATGAATAATCACAGGCATTTGGAGTGTTCTCAGCCTCGCTGTATTATTGATGATGCAGCCATTAGACGTCATCTGTATTGATTAGCTTCTGTATGGAGGTGGTTTCTATGAGCATATTCATGAATGTGTCAGTGGAAACCGGGGCTCATTCTAAGATAAAATATGCTGTCTATATTAGGGATGGCTTGATCCAACACTCATTGGATCTGATATTGGTCAAAATTTCTAATTTCACTGACACTAACCTACCACAGGAGGTAGCAGTAGACGAAAAGCTGTTGAGCTGTTAACGCTATGATCAGTTTTTGAGTGCCACCGAATGGAATCATGATGTAGTGACAACATCAAGGCAATTGTTTTCAAGGTGTATTTCTAAAGGTCACGTGGTGCAAGGGTGGTTATAATCAAATCTTAGAAATCATGATGTTGATGTGTAACTGGAATACTCTGGTCCCGTTTGTGTTTTATAGATTGGCATTAAAGGGTGTAGCCAACCTGTCTGTTCTCTTTAACCTCCTGCTGTTTCTTGGCTCTCCTTGTTACTGTTTGTTTGGTCACCTGATACAGGAGATGTAGCCACATTGACCCATGTGGATATTTTATCTCACATGGGACAAACAGTGGGGTCCGTATGTCCCACACCTGGATCAGACTCCATTTGACCTGAATTGAAAAATATCTGCGCAATCAACAGCGAAAATGAGCTGTACACACTGTTTTCTCTTTTGTGTTCACTGTAACCTAATCATAATTTGTCGTAACACAAACCACCATGTTTATGGGATACAAACAAGGCAGGCCTTCCCCTGAGATACACAAACAAACACACCCTAAGACACAAAACGACACGGTAACCTGTGACATTCATGACATTTCTACATCTCCAATACATTTATACATCACCAGCTCTGTTGATGGCTCCATATTAACTTGTCGATGCAGTTTTACAGTCTTGCGTTATTGACCCGACTAATTCATTCAAACCCCTTTAATCTACATATTGTTTGCCCTGAGAAGAGAGTGGAATCACTGAGTGACAGTGATACAGCACTAGTCAATGGCAGTCGGTGTGTGTTTGTTTCTGTGGGACCATCCAGACTCAAACGTCAATGACAGTCGGTGCGTGTTTGTTTCTGCTAAAGTTTCTGTGGGACCATCCAGACTCAAACCAAGAGCATAACCGATAAGAGACGGTAGGACATGGACGAATTCCAAAAGAGTTGGGTGCTGTCCAGCACCACAGTGGTTTTTACTAATTTAAAAACAACCTGCCTTGAAAGAGGACATGGCTTTCACTTTGAAACAAAAAGAAATTAGTGATATCTCAGATTCCACAATCCAACAGAGGGTACTGTAAGCTTTGCTTGACCTTAAATCTGTTTGAAACCCTCTTTGACCTTTCAGTAGAAAAAGAAAGCCACGTGATGTTTCAAGGGCAGATGCCAATTTTGAACATTTTTGTCTAGAAAAACAAAAACAAAAAAACTTTCTATTGTACATACTAAGTATGTTTCTGAGATAATACAATGTCAGAATATCTCAGAGTAATATTATGTTATATTGAGTGTTTTTGTAAATGTGTTAGAGGATTCAGAGACATTGACTTACTAATCAAAGGGGTCTGGCTGTAGTTGACTCCAAAGACTTTTTTCATTTCCATAATTGTATTCTATTTCTTGAATTGCAAAACATATTATATGAAATTGGTTTTTATCTAAATACTTGTAAAAGTCTAGGTTTCCCCACTGTATGTTTTTGGGCACAGTCAACAATGATCAACTCTCTTCTGTAGGTCAGAATGTTTTCTTCAAAATGAAAGGATTTTATTGTGTTGAATAAATCGAGCTTTAATAAATGACATTGCGCTCATTTCTGTTTCTTTATTCTCTTCACTGGTTGTGGTTTTCCTTTGTGTAAAATGTCAAGTCGATACATCATGACTTGGTGAGAGTAACCATGACTCACGATGCCTTCATTCTC